TATGTATCTCAGTATAACTTGTCTTTGCATCAATTTTGAACGAAATCTTTCAAGGCGTGTCCGAGAAATGACAATGGACACATAAACAGATGGACAGAACCCAAAACATAAGACAACATTTCAGACTTCATCCCACGAGGTCTAATACATAATACAAAACTATGAAATATATGAATTATTTTTTTCAGTTGTGCGAGTGTTCCACGTACCATTCATTCAAATATCCTGACTCGAAATACAATGTTTATTCAAATAAGGTCATTAATGCAAGACTAGCGGGACACTGCTTCAGACACAACAAACCAGCGTCCTTGGTGCTACTGTGGAAACCAACCCATGGACAGATAAGACCTGGCAGGCCTTTTGATGACTACGTATCCATGCTTCAAAAGAATACTGGCCTAAGCACTGACGATTTAAAAGTTCTGATGAGGGACAGGGAATTGTGGAGGAAGCTGACCATGGAATCGGTCACGCCTACCTGATGATGATGATAAATGCAAAGCTGTTTCATAGTTTTATGTATATATTAAGATAACTATGCAACATTTATTTTCTCAAACTTTGATATTTGAGTATTATGCGACTTACCACTTAAATATTCTAAAATTAGATACAGTTTGCCTCCAGTTTGAAAAGCATACAGCAAGTCTACAATAAAAGGATGCTTCACAGCCTCCAAGATATTCCTCTCTGCTTTTGTGTGAGCTGTGTCTTTAGCGTTCCTAGCAATGGAGGCCTGTAAAATCATTTGTTTTGAGTTACAAGGAGTGAAATATGACACATTGAATGCTAGATACAGGAGTTTATCACATATATGTTGCACATGTCAAATGTTTAGGGGTCATTGATCTTGATGGAAAAGTAAGTTGTTTGATTAGGAAGGAGGGTGTAAAAGTTTTTATTGTGTGCGTCCAAATAACAATATGAAACTAAGTGAAACAAACTAGAAACAGACATGAGTGAATGTAAAACATTTTATACAAGATCCCAAAAAACATAAATAGAAATATACATAAGGTTAAAAAATTCAAACTAAACTAGTATAGGAGTTTGTACTAAAAAAAAAACTTTTGGTACAGAAGGGGGAGGGGGGGTGTCAGAACCAGTTCTGAGTGTCAGACTTGCGTTTCCCATATCCATATATTTTAATGATTTGTCTTATCTTTAATAAAGTTACTCTCGGTATTAAATTACAATCATTGACTGGGACGGGATTCATAATATAAATAGCATAACAGTTTGGGTCATAGCTCGAGGTCTAAAATGGTATAATTCCAGGAATTGATGACGTCAGGCTGTGCTATTTGAAAATGGACTGGGAGCTATAATTAGCTTTTCTGAACGCTGCACAAATCTTTTCAAAATTGTATGATTTGAGAGAATGATAGGCAAGTGGAATAGTCACTAGTCTAAAAAAGTCTGTAGCTTCTCCTTATAAAAGACAATGAAGCAATGCACAATGTATAAAAGAGTTATGGGGTAAATTGCTGTGAGCAGTTTTAAAATCTAGTCAAGCAATGATTAGACACGCATCATGTGAGACATGTTTTTAGATTTCATCAGAAGTTCTGACTGACCCAGAACAAGTCAGTGAACAATAAGAGCACAACCCCTTATCATAGAGTACAAATGTACGATAATAGATTGAAACTGTAAACCATTTTCTTGCATG